GAATTATCGGAATTCTTGTTTATGTTGCCAACACTACCCGTCCAGTCGTACAGAATGACACCAAAGTTTTATTTCGATTAATTTCTAGTATTTGTCGGCATTATAATTAGCCTATGGTTCGGGTTTCTAGTGTTTTTCATATCGAATTTATTCATTGATAATCTCATTAAAGTTTGCAAACACTTCAAACACATTGAATACAAAGTTGTTATGAATTTATGTCGAAATAATACTCAAAATAATAGCAAACAAGTGATTAGGAGTAATAATAATCAGTTTATTATTTATTAAATATATTTCACACTTAAGATATCAGTTTTGATTATAATTATCAAATAATGAAACAGAAATACTTATTGTGTAAATGTCTTAGGTCTGATATTTTATAAGTTATAACTAAAAACTAATTTAATAATTTGTAATCAAATTAATACATTATAAAATTAGACATAAAACTAAAACCATGATAATAATAATATAATTGTGACATAAATGTTATATAACTTAAAAATCTTAAAACTCAAAAGTAAGGTGATTAGCGGCAAGAGCACCACCATCCGAGAGCAGGTTAGTGCCGGTGACAAAAGCAGCATGGTCACTGGCCAGGTATAGTATGGAATCGGCCACATCCTCGGCAATACCAGACCGGCCGACAGGCAATCCTTTGGCGTATCCGTCGTGAAACTTGTCGGACGCGTCGTTGGGTAGACCCATAGCTGTCAGAAAGCCGGTCTTAATGGGTCCGGGACTGCAATGTTGGCGTCAATTCAAATAAAGCATTAATTCTGGATTTTATAAATCTATTTCTATTTTTAAATCTTACTTGATCACATTCACCCGAATACGTTTGGGTCCTAACTCTGCGGCCATACATTTGGTGAACATATCCAGAGCACACTTAGACACACAATAAGAGGACCCGCCCACAGACTATATACAATATATTCAATGACAGTATTTATAATATTTATTATTTTATATCATTTTGAGATTAGTTAACAAATATACTTACGGTTCTCATACCCGCGAGACTCGAGATGTTGATTATATTTCCTTTAGTTTTCTCCAAATGCTCGACACATATATGCGTTAAATAGACCACAGAATTACATTTTGAGATTAGTTAACAAATATACTTACGGTTCTCATACCCGCGAGACTCGAGATGTTGATTATATTTCCTTTAGTTTTCTCCAAATGCTCGACACATATATGCGTTAAATAGACCACAGAATTGAGATTTATTTGCATTACTTTCAGATGATTCTCGTAGTATTGCTTATCACTAACACCAGTCATAATAGCGGCGCCGGCGTTATTCACCAGAATATCGAGTTTCCCGAAGTGTTTGACAGTTGTGTCTACAAGTCGTTTAAGATCTTCATTTTTAGTCACATCCGCCACCACTTCCAATGCCTTCGACTTATTCGGTGAAACTTTGAGACACT